AGGTTGAATATGGGGGTTGACAGTTTCTATTCTATATGAGTACTACAATTTATATTTCCTTTTTCTTAGAAATTCTCAGTGGAAGCAATAAACTTCTATCAGTCATCACATTCTACCTCAAGCGGAAGTCTTTCTGACATTTGATTTTTTAATGTAAATAACAGAGGCTATTTATATATATGTAAAATCTTTCTTCACTCAGTTATCCATACACAGGCTATGTCTAAAAAGTTGTCTACAAAGTCTTTTTAATTTTTTGGATGTCAGATAATATAAAAATCAGATGTAGCAAAGCAATGTGATCTGCAATGCTGTCTTTTTTTGTTTTTACTTCAAAATCACTTTTTATTTTTTATGTGTGTTGTAAAATATTAAAGCAATGCAAATATAAGACTTTTTTTTTAAATTTTTTTATTGTTAGTTTCAGGTGTACAGAACAATGTAATAGTTACCCTTTTCACCCTCACAAAGTAACAACCCCCCTCCCCCCATCCACTGCCCTCCCACCCCCGATATCTTGCTTATCTATTACAATTCCATTGAATCCGTTCCCGCACTCTACTCCTGTCTTAATAAACTCAAATTTAGAACTCACAGCAAATATCACACTTGTTATACACCAGCTGACCTGATGTTAAAAAGTTAAATTTCAACTATATGTGTATGCCTCACATCTGTGCTTTTCCAGAACTCTTGAATAATGAATCCATTTAGCTTACTGATTTAAGAAAGGTCCCTTTACCTACCTCGCCCTCCATCTCCCCTGGATGCTGTTAGGGACATTTTGAATCACACTAAAGAGTGGAGCAAAGTCCCAGGAAGTGTGCAAAGAGTGCATGTGATCTTGTATAGACTCAATGCTACTATTACTAAGGAGAATAGTCCCTTTTCACAACAGTCTTAAGAGGATTGGACCCCTCTGCCCACAGGTCCTCAGATCATTCAATTAGTGTTATGTTATTACTTGCCCCTCTGAAGACAAGGAGTAGGGGATAAGAATGGGTATTTTTATTATTTAGTGGAAGAAATTCTAAATAAATGCATTTTAAAAATGTAATTGCAAAGGAAATATATTCAGAAAATCATTTTTTTTAAAGATTTTTATTGGGGAATTGGGGGATGGGAACAGCTCTGGGGAATTGGGGGAAGGGGAACAGACAAGTTGCTGTCATTTTGTTCTTCAGTCTAGTTGTGGAGGATGTTGCTTCACTGGTCCAAGTTGGCACCATCATTGCGCTCTTCCCGGGCGAAGCAGATCAGTCGCCGGCTTCTGGACGGCCGCTCACAGCAGCTTGAGAGCCGCTCACGCTGGCTGCTGGCTACACACGGTAGCCAATGGCAACCCACTGCCACAGGGGCTGCAGTGCCAGTGACGCCCTGCATCCCAGCTCCAGGTTGAGCTGTTGTTCAGCATCTTAGCTGTAGAGGGCAGTGTCACTGGCCCTCATATGTGGGATCCGAACCGGGGCCCTCTGGCGTCCCAAGCCAGCTCTGAACCAATGCACCACTCGGCCGGCCCCAGAAAATCATTTTTATATAGTAAAGTTTTAAAACATTTCTCAAATGATTTCACTGTCATGATTTTTATTATAGTAAGTAAAAAATTGTTAAATTCTAAACATGGCCATATTATGCTAAAATGACTTTCATTTTTGCTAAGCGTTAACTTGTATTCCACAAACTCTGTCATTAAACTCCCCCAAATGACAAAATAAGTTCACTTTTGTGCATGCAGGTAGAAGGATTATCCTGCAAATAAAAAGGAAAAAGAAATTTAGAGCTGAGCTCACCATAATGAGAGTTTTCTCAACAGTTAGAGCTTCCACAGTAGACTGAAGTGAAATTCTTGCCCTTAGAAATAATTAAACTGAAGTTGTCTGACCTGTTTTCAGTTTTGATTCAGAAGTCGATCTTTCCATTGTATGTAAGTTTTAACAAGATTCCCTCTAAGATTCTGTGAATATGGGAGTCATTAATTTTATTCAGTGAAGAACAAAGAGTAGAGTCAATAATAGAATTAGTGGAGTTGCCCCAAGTAAAACTAGCCCTTAAATGTCATTGCTTTAGTGAAACTGTCACACACAGTATATGTAGGACTAGTTAAGTTGATGAGAACTTGTATTTACTAACTGGGATGGCTTTGCCTTTCCCGTGCTGCCCTTTGACATAAGATGCTCATCTGTAAGTCCTTCCATCTTCTCAGAAGCACCTGCTGACACCAAACCCTATAGACTCCTCCACCTGGCTCATCCTTCAATGCTATGGGGGAAAAAAATCAATTTTCAGTACTGATAATAACAGGTAACCTTCTTTGACTTTCCATGTTGTTTTTGAAATAATTTAAATGGCAATAGTTGCATTTTAAATTATTTGAGCTATTTGCGAGGAACCTCCACAATCAAGGAGGTTCTTTGCAGGATTCCAAGTGTCATTAAAAACAGTACCCAACATTACTGAGAATGAAAATTGCCTCTCCAAATTAACACTAACAGTATTTCTATTATACTTACCAATGTGATTTTAAAAAGAAAAATTTCACAATGGCAATAACCTTGCTATTTATTCCCCAGGACATGATTAGTCAATAATTATTCCCCAGGACATGAGCACGCTCGCTGGGGCTCATTCAATTTTTAGGTCCCCATGTGACATGAGAATGCATGTAAAAGTTATTGGTTGTTATTGGTGAAATTCCTCATTAAAGTTCCTTTTTTGGTAAGCAGTTTCTGTGGTTACTAGACTGGCTTTAATGGTGCAAAACTAGGCTTTTATTGATCTGAGAGCGAGAACTATTGACTTGTGTCTAAGTAGTTGAGAAATGACATTTATCAGTTAGTACTGTACCTACAAACCAATCTGTGTCATGTCACCCTTTCTTAATTAGCTTCCACAGGGATTTAAAGACTTTTTGTTTAAATAAGCTTTTTTGTTACAGGTAAGATAACTGAAGCATGATTGGCTACCTCATAGTTCAAGTTAATTTATTTTCTGTCCTAAGATTGTTTTTTGTTATATATTTGGAAAATATTTAGTGAATCATAATATTTTCATTAGGTATTTTAGTTTAGTTCACTCCCTTTTAAAGCAAGAATCCAAAATTAGGATGAAGGGCAATGTTTCAAAATCAGAAGAAACAAAATGAATGAAGAAAGAAGTTGGGAGTCATTGAGAAGAAGCCTATTTGAGTCTCATTAGCTTTTCCCTTGAACTAGACGATATAGATTCAGAGGAACTCAGGTATATCATAAAAGTAGTTGGCAGTTTTCTTCCTGCCATAGATCAATCTGGTAACAACAGGGAAGCATTAAAGCTCATCTTTTGCTAAAGTTGTTTCTGTATTCATGAGGGAATGTACAGAACCAGATAAAGAATTAATGACATGTTTGCACAATACGAAAATCTAAAGGCAATACCTTCAGAGGTTTAAGTCCCAAATGTTACCTGGTAAAATAAAATGCCATCTGCCTATTGTTCAGTTATTGAAGACCTGCTCATCTCAGGTAGGTTTCTAGAGCAAATTTATGATTTTAGAAAGATAAACTTACCTTTTGGAAAAAAAAATATATTTGTAAATGAATTATTCTACTTCTGCTTACTCAATTTAATGACCTTGACAATTTAATGACCAAAAATATTTTCTTCTCATAACTGGGAGAATCTATTTGAACTTATTAGTATTCACAACATAGCATTTTAATTATTTTATTTTGGTTCACAGAAAAGCCTTACTCCTTTTATCATTGGGCAAACATATACATGCATTTAAGGAGAGTTTTTTTCTTTTTCATTTGTTGTATTTCAAAAATAAGGTAGGTATCACATTACAAATAACAACATGTGCATATTCAACCTCATATGAAACATGTTATAATTATTTAGCTCTAAAAAATCTATTACCTATATTCTTTTCATATTTCAATAGAGGGAAAAATATATGCAAACACACGACATACACATAAATACACACAATCACAAGGGAGAGAAGCTGATACAGCTCAGAAGCTCTCATTATCCATCATCCCATTTACTTTTTTAAATAGAAAAGTCCACTTAAAATCCAGAAAGATGTGGATTTATATGTGAAATTCTGTTGTTTGTACATTTTTCAGCTATTTGACTGTTCCTGAGGCTCCTCTTTTGAAACCAGACCATGCCATGAATAGGTAACGAGTTTGATGGCAAAAGTAAAATGAATTTCTAGAGAAAAGTTCATTAATACTTTTCTCATGATCACCAAATACTGAAGACACTGCAAAGCAGAATCAGTAGCATAATTTTCATTTTTATTTCTGTGTGATATGCTCATTGTTTCTAAAACTGGTATAAAAATCTTTTAAACCAATCATATATGTTTTTTAAGCTTTATTGGGGAACAGTGAGTTTTTCCAGGACTAAGTCAAACCGTTGTTTTCAATCTAGTTGTGGAGGGCCAGCTCACTGGCCCATGTAGGAATGAATCCACAACCTTGGTGTTAAGAGCCTGTGCTCTAACCACATGAGCTAACTGGCTGCCCCGATCATATTTTTTGAGAAACATAACAATAGTCACCATTTTTTGTGTCCATGTGAATATTACAATAATAGAAAAGACTTACTCCTGTATCTTTCAGCCTTGTGCCTCTAAGATTGACATTGGTTCATACTACTTGGAAGACATAATGAGATACCATTGTATTCAAATATCTTCCATGATACAAGGAATGTAATGATCAGACAAATTAGAGGGCTTGCAGAAAGGGACATAGCTCATGAATGACATCTAGATTTAGATCCAAGTTTCTCAGCTGCCTGTAGCAGATACCTTCTTTATTATTGTCATACAGATAACAATGCCTCTTTAAAGAATGACAAAGGACCATGTAATTTCCTAAGCATAAAAACATAATTGCAGAAATAAGTCATGTTATACTTTGCAGATCTTTTTTGGATGTCAGGAGTTTCACATGCCTCTGTCATTTTCTTAATCATTTTCTCAGAAGTTTAGACAATAAAGTAGAAAAATGAATGAAGGAAACTGCTCTTCTTTGACTCAATTCGTTTTTGTGGGAATTACCAATAACCCTGCGATGAAAGTGACCCTATTTACCGTGTTTCTGCTTGTTTATTTCATTAGTCTTCTGGCGAATCTTGGAATGATCACTCTAATTAGAATGGACTCCCAGCTGCACACGCCAATGTACTATTTCCTCAGCCACCTGTCTTTCTGTGACCTCTGCTATTCCACAGCCATTGGGCCCAAGATGCTGGTGGACATATTTTCTGAGAACAAATCAATCCCCTTCTCTGGCTGTGCTCTGCAATTTTTTGTTTTCTGTGTGTTTGCAGATTCTGAGTGTGTGCTGCTGGGGGTGATGGCCTTTGATCGGTACAAAGCCATCAGCAACCCGTTGCTCTATGCAGTCAGCATGTCCAGCAGAGTGTGCTCCGGGCTCATGGCCGGCGTTTACATGGTGGGGATAGCAGATGCTTTGGTCCTCACAACGTTAACATTCCGCTTATGTTTCTGTGGGTCCAATGAGATTAACCATTTCTTCTGTGATGTACCTCCTCTCTTCCTCCTTTCCTGCTCTGATACATGGATCAATGAATTGGTGATATTCACCATTTATGGCTTCCTTGAACTGAGCTCCATTTCAGGAGTTCTTGTGTCTTATTGTTATATTATTCTATCAGTTTTGAAGATCCACTCTGCCGAGGGACGGTTCAAAGCTTTCTCCACCTGCACCTCCCACTTAACTGCTGTGGCCATTTTCCAGGGAACTCTTCTCTTCACGTATTTCAGGCCAAGCTCTTCTTACTCTCTAGATCAAGACAAAATGACCTCATTGTTCTACACTCTTGTCATTCCCATGTTAAACCCCCTGATTTATAGCCTACGGAACAAGGATGTGAAACAGGCTCTGGAAAAACTGAAAACTAAAAGGTGTTTTTAAATATTTGTATTATGCATGCACACACACAGATACACACAACTAGCATGCGTTATTTTCTTAAAATTCTATTGCATGACACCAGAGAAACAAAGTTGTCCCAAATACTTTGTTTTAATAACTGAGTGTTTATTCTGAAGTTCAATGTTAAGAAATGCTGTTATTCCAAACATGTCATGTTTCATTATGTGTCAAGAGTTTCTATATGGCGCTGCCTCTTTGTGGATCACTCTCCTGGGTTTTCTAATTAATTTGTGTTTGTTTATTCTTTCATTGAAACACTATTTCATTTACATGAAGACTTGTTGCATGTTTAATGTTTTCTGAGAAAACTTTGAGCTTTGATGTTCTTTATATCCCATTGTACATCTAGTAGCTTATATACTAATGAACTCTCTAATCTAGTGCTAATAGTAGACATTAATGAACTAAGCAGTCCAATGATTCATAAACTTCAAAACGATCTTGAAGTAAAAAACAATAAGGGCTACAAGTCCATAGCAAAATGTCTAAATCTAAATCTAGTTGAAGAGAAAGCTTTCTTTGGAGAGAGTTAGAGAGCCTCAGCTCCAAAAAGATGCAGTTTGAAGAGGAAAAAACATCAGGCAGAGATTGGGTCTCACAATTACAATGGTTTTGAGGTGGACGCAGCCATGCCTTTTTGGGAGTGAAGACGCCATGGTGGCCACAACATGGAGGAATCTTGAGGACATGATGCTAATTGAAATAAGTCAGAGAGAGAGACAAAAATGCTGTATAATCTCACATATATGTTAATCTAAAAAAATAGAATTCATAGAGAAATAACAGATTTGTGGTTGCTGGAGATGGGGGTGACGAGTGGGGAAAAATGGATGAATATAGTCAAAAGGTATAAGCTTCCAGTTAGAAAATAAGTAAGTCCTGTGGATATAACATACAGCATGGTGACTATAGTTAAAAATACTGTACTATATATTTGAAAGTTGTTTAGAAAGGATATCTTAAAAGTTCTCATCATACACACACACACACACACACATACACACACAAATCATAACTATAAGAGATGATGAATGTTAATTAAACTTATAGAAATCACTTTGCAATATATATACATATCAGATCACTAAACTTATACAATGTTATATGTCAATGATACCTCAATAAAACTGGTAACAGTAACCTCATGGAAATAAATAAATGAAAGTAAACACACATATATAATTTTAAAAATGAGATTATTTCATAGACTTTTAAATTTATTTTGTTATCGGGTACTTTGTCCCTCTCATTTCTTCATTCTAAACATTCATCTCCAGTGTGATACATCCTTTCTTGCAATGTGCACTCCAGAAAACCCATGGTAAAAGCTTGCTCTTTATATTTTCTTGCTTTTTCATCATGCTTGTTCATTAGTAAATATGTTATCATTGTTTGCCTTCCAGAAAATAGTGTATATAGAATTCATTACATGTCTATTTTCCTAATTAACCATAGCCTCTTATAAACACTTCTACATCAATAGAAGGGACTCTAATGCATCCTTTTTAATGAGTACACAATGTTTCACATTATGGAAAAATCACAATCATTTCTCTATTCCCCTATTGGTGAGCATCTCTTCATTTCTAGTTTTGATCACTATAAACTATATTAAAATAATTATATTTGTGAGTGTACACCTCTTGAAAGCTAGTCCCAGAATGATAGTTAGGTTTTCCATAGTGTATTCTTCAAAGCAGTCAGAGGCCAGCCCCAATGTAAAGGAAGGGGGAAAGATACCAAGTCTCCATGGAAGCACTCTCAAAGAATGTGAAACCATCTTCATCAGACACAGCTACCATCAGTCAATTACAGAGCCTTGAAAATTATCATTTCCACATATTTATTAGCTTTTTGTATATTCAAATTAAACACAACTGTATGTATAAATGTCTGTATTCCTCACTTTCACACACAGAGCAACAAATGATGATTGAAAAGATATTCATTTTAAAAAAGAGAAGGTAGACCCAACTTTATGCCAGTCAGGTCAATGTGAAATATTGGTTGATCTGGTTTCTGCCCATGGGGTTCCGTCAAGCCAAGAACCAAGAGGAAGACAAAGGTTCAGAGATCAGGCAGCATTATATCTTGCCTGATGGGAAGAATCAGGAGAACACAAACCTACACTCCAATACTTCTCAAGATTGTAGATATTGCAATGAATAAAAGCAATGTATTTCTTTTTTAGAAATGAAAAGAACCATGATTTTTCTTAAGACTTCTTCCATGCACACATACATGTATGATTTATATAACTTAAAACCGTCCCTAAATTATTTCTATCTGTCCAGCACCCACCTTTCTATCCACTTAACATATTTAAAAAACAAACATTAAATCATACATTACTAGAGCAATTCCTGGGGGCAGTGTTCAGGATATAGAGAAATTAGCCAAACGCTGCAATTATTCTAAGGGGCTTATAATGTAGTAAAAGACACATATATAAATAAAATAAACACAATCTTTCCATTTTTTTCCAGTACCAAATTCCAAAGGAAATTACATAGTGTATTATACAAAAGACATTTTAGAACATTGTCCCTTAGGTTCAGTTTCTACAGGAAATTGAAGCCTAGTCTTTCCATGAACTTTCTTATTTAGTTTGTTGATGATAACCAAGATAAAAACATTTAGGATACACCAGGTATGAAAATTTCTTTCGTGAACGCATCATAGAAAAAGTGCTACATACTTATTGCTCAATATCACTATAATCACCTTTGAAGTACAACCCTTGGGAAGCTATGCACAGCGCTTAGTCCACTCTTGAAAGCAATTTTGGAACTCTTTCTGGAATGGCTATCAGAGCTGTCATCATATTACCCTTGATGTCCTGAATGTCATAAAAGTGTTTCGTTCAATATTTCCTTTATCTTCAGGAAAATAAAGAATCCTTGGACTCTAAATCAGGTGAGTAGGGGGGGTGTTCCAATACAGTTATTTGTTTACTGGCTAAAAACTCCCTCACAGACAGTGCCATGTGAGCTGGTGCCTTGTCGTGATGCAAGAGCCATGAATTGTTGGTGAAAAGTTCAGGTCGTCACACTTTTTCACGCAGCCTTTTCAGCACTTCCAAATTGTAAACTTTGATAACTCTTTGTCCAGTTGGTACAAATTCATAATGAGTAATCCCTCTGATATCAAAAAAGCTTATCAACATTGTTGCAACTAGTTCTCGAATTTAATTGTCCCACCTCGGTATATTTGCTGATCTGATATTAAAAAGTTAAATTTTAACTATATGTGTATTCCTCACATCTGTGCTTTTCTAGAACAATTGAATAATGAGGCCAATTAGCTACTGTTTTAAGAAAGGTCCCGTCATCCTACCATGCCCTTCATGTCTCCTGGTTACTGCCAGGGACATTTTGAATCACCCTAAAGAGTGGAGCAAAGTTCCAAGAATGTGCAAAGATCGCAAGTGATCGTCTACGGAAGCAAAGCTTCTGTTACTGGGGAGAATAGTCCTTTCACAACAGTTTTAGAGGACTGGAGCTCTTTGCCCCCAGGACCTCAGATCTTTCAATCACTGTTAGGTTATTACTGGCCTCTCTGAAGAATAGGAGAAGAGGAAGAGAATGTGTATTATTATTAGTTAGTGGGAGAAATGCTAAATAAATGCATTTTCAAACTGTAAATTGCTGCTGGTGACCAGCTGGTTCAGCTGGTAAAAAAGTCAACAATGCCATTGTAGCATGAAAGCAATGTGTAACCACGGACCTTGGCTGTGCCCCATAGAATTAAAAAAATAAAATAAAGAGCAAATGAAACATATTCAGAAATTTAGTTTCATGTAGTAAAGTTTTAAAACATTTCTCAAATTATTTCATTGCCATCATTATATCACTGAAAGTAAAAAAAAATTGTTAAATTCCCAGTATGGCCATATTATGCTAAAATGACTGATTATTGCTAAAGAGCTAATTCCACTTCATCAACTCTGTCATTAAACTGTCCCAAGTGACAGAAAAAGTTCACCACTGTGTGCACACAGGTAGAAGCATTACACTGCAAATAAAGGAGAAAAAGAAATTTTGATTGGAGTTCAGCTAATGTAGAGTTTTCTCAATAGTTAGAACGTGCACAGTAGACTGAAGTGAAATTCTTGCCCTTAGAAATAATTAAACTGAAGGTGTCTAAACACTTTTCAGTCTTGATTTTTGAGTGGACCTTTGCATTGGATGTAAGTTTTAACAAGATTCCTCTAAGATTCTGTGAACATGGGAGTCATTAATTTTATGCAGAGATGAACAAAATGTAGAGTCTTAATAGAATTAGTGAAGTTCCACCAAGTATAAGTAACCTTTAAATGTCATCGTTTTAGTGAAACTGTCACCCACAGTATATGTAGGACTAAGTTGATGATGAGAACTTGTATTTACTAACTGGGATGGTGATGCTATTTCCTTGCTCCTCCGTGCATAAGATGCTCATCTGTAAATCTTTCCATCTTCTCAGAAACACCTGCTGATACCAAGTCCTAAGAACCCTCCACTGGGCACATCCTTCAATGCCATGAAAAAACTATATCAATTTTCAGTACTGACAATAACAGGTAACCTTTTTGGAGTTTCCATGTCATTTGTGAAATAATGTAAATGGCAATAGTTATATTTTAAAATATTTGAGCTATTTGCTGAAATCTCCACAATCAAGGAGATCCTTTGCAGGATTCCAAGTGTCATTAAAAACAACCCAACATTACTGAGAGTGAAAATTGCCTATTCAAATTAACACTAACAGGACTTCTATTATAATCGCAATGTGGTTTTAGGAAAAAATCACAATGGCAATAACCCTGGTAATTATTCGCCAGGTAGCCCATGAAAATGAGCATCTTCAGTAGGACTCCTTCATTTGTTAGGTCCCCCAATGACACAGGAATGCGTGTAAAAGTTATTGGTTGTATTGGAGAAATTCCTCATCTAGGTAGGTGGACAATAGTTACTTCTTTGGTAAGTACGATTTCTGGT